TGTTATGTTAATCACCATACATTACATCATTAGTTTTTGATGTAGTGTTCCATGATTCATCGTTTGTGCATAACACCCAGTGCTCCACGCAGAACGTGCCCTCTTTAATACCCATCACCAGCCTAACCCCTCCCCCCACCCCCCTCCCCTCTAGCACCCTCAGTTTGTTTTTCAGAGTCCATCGTCTCTAATGGTTCGTCTATTTTTGCAAGATTATACGTTCCCCGTGGGATGATGGCTCACTTTTCCTGACAACTTTATTTTTTTAAAAGATTTTATTTATTTATTTGACAGAGAGTGTATAAGCAGGGGAGTGTCAGGCAGAGGGAGACGGAGAAGCAGTCTCCCCGCTAAGGCAGACCCTTAACCAACTGAGCCACCGAGGTGCTCCTCCTGACAACTTTAACATGCAGCAGACGATACAGTAAACTCTATGGTGGTATCAAAAACACATTCAGGACGGATTGTGCACATTTAAAAGCAGGATCGTTTCCCACACAATGAATAAACTCAAACGTGCCTTTCTTCGTAAAACAAAAAGATATATATGCCTTAGCTTATTTCAGTTTCTTTATCTTGTTGCGTTGGTTCTTCCGTGCACGTGTTTGCTTTCTGTGTTGTATTTGGAAGGCTGCTTACTGCCCAAGTCATCTTTGGGTGCAGACCCAGCTCTGCAGTTTAGCCTGAACAGCTCTCATTTTCTTCCCTAGCTCCGACCTGGTTCCCTGGAGTGTGAGGCTAAAGCATGGTGCCCTTCCCGTGGGTTCCCTGTGCAGACCCCGGTAGCAGCTGATGGCCGGGGCTGGGTCTCAAAGGGATGTGTGCAGGCAAGCCCTGAGGGATGCTCGAGGTCACTGCTGGGCGAACTAGTCAGGCTTTGTGGGGAGTTTGGAGAGCCCATGGTGCTCTCTCCAACGGCAAGCATTCCTTGCACGGCTCAACATACCTTTAGCTGGAGAACTTGCAGGGGAGCGGCTTCAGACGTAACAGTGGAGGGGCAGAGGGCGCTCATCAAAGCATGCATATCTTTCCGTGTGTGTATGCACATACATATATTTGTGCTTTATTATATATCATACGTGGGCGTTATACTTACATTCTTTGTGGATATGCACATAGGCATCAAGTAAAGATGGTGGCACATTGTCAACCATGTGATTAGAGGGTTGTAACATCCAGTCCCACGCCTGATCTGGGGAGAGGAGAGGTCTGGAGGTTGAATCAGGCCTCAGGGGTCAATGATTTAATCAATCATGCCTATGTGATAAAGCCTCCATAAAAAAAAAAAAAAGCAAAAAGGATGGGGTTCAGAGAGCTTGTAGGCTGGTGAGCAGTTGGAGGTGCCTGGAGAATATTGCCCGAGAGCTTCACGCCTGTTCCCTGTACCTTGCCCTCTGCATCTGTTTCATGTGGATGTTGCTCTGTATCCTTTGTCATGTCCGGTGAACCATAAGTAAACTGTTTGAGCTCTGTGAGCCACTCTAGCAAATTACTGGAACCCAAGAGGGAGTGGTGGGAAACTCTGATCTATAGCAGCTCGGTCAGGAGCACAGGTGACAAGCTGAACCTGCAGTTGGCATCCGATGGTGGGAGGAGCAGGGTTGTAGACTGAGTCCTTCACCTGTGGGATCTGACACATATTGAGTTGAACTCTGAACTGCTGTTGGAGCATCGCTTCGTGGTGTGGGAGAATCCACAAATAGGAATTGGTGTCAGAATCATGCTCCCAAATGCCTTACCACCAAATACCATCCCATTGGGGATTAGGGCTTTGACCTATGAATTTTGTCAGGAGGCCGGGGGCGGGGGCCAAACATTCAGTCCATTATAGAGTGTTTTGCAATTGAGTTATTTTCGGGTTTGATAACACACACCCTTGGTGACTTCTCTCCTGCCTGGAGTGACCAGGTTGTCCTAGCAGGCCTGGGACTGTACTAGATTCACACTGAAAGCCTTGTGTCCCCCAGGAACCTGTCAGCCGCAGGCTCATAGAAGACACTTGGCCACAGGTAGGTTATGACTGAGCCGACAGTCTCCGCAGGGTAGCCTCCCCTTAGCTGCCCCCCAGTGTAACGTGCAGGTAGCTTGTGGGTTATGACTGAGCCGACAGTCTCCGCAGGGTAGCCTTCCCTTAGCTGCCCCCCAGTGTAACGTACAGGTAGCTTGTGGCTTATGACTGAGCCGACAGTCTCCGCAGGATAGCAAAGTGGCGATAGGAGCCATCTGTCCTGGCCTTTCAAGCAGGGGGGGGTGTGGTTGGGGACAGATGACTGAAGTGCATGTCGCTGTCAATGATCATCAGACATGCCTCTGGGGACTGGA